CCCCCCTCCCCTCCCCCCGCCCTACCTGGTGCAGCAGCTCGTCCTCAATGGCCACCAGGGGGATCATGATGTGGGGGTGCACGCGGCAGCCCTCGCCAGTGACATGGATGGCCGCCTCAATGATGGCGCGCACCTAGCATGGGGGTGGGGAGAAGCGTGAGACACAGTGGTGTGAGGCGCTGAAAGTTGCGCACCGGAATCCCCAAAGCAAGGGAGATGTGACACCAGGCCCGTCAGCACCCTGCTGACGCTCCGGTGATGTCAGCCTTGCAGCCCGGCAGCGGGCCCCCCACCCAGACACACGACACCCTTGCGTTGATGCACGCCAGCTCACCTGCATGCGAGTGATGTCCGGGTGCAGCACACCCAGCCTGCAGCCACGCAGGCCCAGCTGTGAAGGGCAAAGTGGACGGGGGTGGCGGGGTTAAATGTCAGGCGCCTTGCTCAAGCTCGGACTTGGCATTGACAAGCGGCGCGAGTGCATGCAGCCAATAATGCCGCAGCCGGCCCAGGCTAGGGACCATACAACTTTCATACAGTCGCACCACCAACACTGGCCCCTCCTGACTCCTACAGCCCCCCCAGCCCCCCCCCCCCCCCAAGGGGCGGCCCACCATGGGGTTGCACTCCTTGAGGGCCTCCAGCTTGGCCTGCACCGCGGCCGGCTCCACACCCAGCTCAGGGGCCAGCTGGTCGCACAGGCGGCCCAGGGCGCTGCCGCACGCGCCACACGCACCACTCTCCTCGGCCTGGGGCTGCGGTGACGGGCAGCATCAGGAAGGGTACAGCGTCAGACGTCTGGCGTCTGGAGTTGCGCTTTGATGTTTTACGGCCACCTTCAGAAACACCGCGCACCAGAAGACAACAATGATACCAATTTCATTCTCAGGAAGCGTGGCCACGGGTTGTGGCCCAAGGCCCCAGCCTCCAACCCAAAGGGTGGGTGCAGTGCAGCAGATCAGGCGGCTTGCTGCCGCGGCCCACCAGGAACTCGTGCAGCGGGGGGTCCAGCAGGCGGATGGTGACGGGCTTGCCGTCCATGGCGCGGAACAGGCCCTCAAAGTCTGGCAGGGTCGAAATGGGGCGACGGGGTGTTTAGGTTCAAGGGTCAGGGTGAAAGCCCTCAAGGTGGCCACATGCTGCAGCACGCAAGCGGTGTGACCAGGCCAGCCGGCTGCAAGAGAGACCTGATGCAGAGACACCAAATTAACCAAACACCACGGATCCTGAGCGCTGGCAGACGGAGCGGCGGCAGCCACCGAAGCCTGCAGCGCATTGCGCTTTGGTCGGTGCCTTGCCTCCAAACCCCGCGCGCCTCACCCTGGGTCTGGTAGCCCTGCAGCTCCGCCAGCGCCTCGTCAGCCTGAGGAGAGTTGAGCTCCACGGCCGCGATCATGCGGCGAACGGCCGCAATGCGCTGCGCAGTGGCGAAGAACATGTGCTCCGTGCGGCAGAGGCCGATGCCCTGGGCGCCGTTGGTGATGGCCACCTTGGCGTCCTCGGGGGTGTCTGTTGAAGGGGGGGCGATCAAGGAGGAGGCCGAGGCTGGGGTCGGGCTTGTGGCAGATATACAAAGGTGCTTGCAGCGGCTGGTGAGCCGTCAGGTCTGAGCCAAGCCCCGGGCGGGCGTGCAGGCAGGGACGAGCGGACCAGCAAGAGGCGGGGCCCGGAGGGTTGTCCCATTGAAACATTGACGTTGAGCCGGCCATCAGTGGGCTCTTGACCTGCTCACAGCATCCAGCCCCACCCTCAACGCACGCCTCCCTTGACCCACACACCCTGAATAGTATGTGCTGGACCAAACCTTGCAGTCACTCGCACCCTCGCCCACACAGCGCCCAGCACCACCCCACCCACCCGCGTTGGTGAGGACCTTGAGGCGGCGCCGCGCGTCCACCCACTTCATGAAGGTCGCCAGGTCGCCGCTCTCGGCGCTCGGCTTCTGCACCGGCTTGGCGCCCTTGATGACCTCGCCTGTGGCGCCGTTGATGCTGATGTAGGCACCCGCCTTGAACTCCTGGTGCGTGGCCACCACAGTCATCACGCCGCGCTTCTCGTCAATCTGCAGCGCCTCGCAGCCGCAGACGCAGGGCTTGCCCCAGCCGCGCGCCACGACGGCGGCGTGGCTGGTCATGCCGCCGCGGCTGGTGAGGATGCCCTCGGCCGCGTGCATGCCGCCCACGTCCTCAGGGCTGGTCTCCTGCAGGGTGGGGGGAGAGCGTGCAATGGGCGAGGCGCTTTTCAGGCGCATGCCGGCTAGCTTGCGTTTGACTGGCAGGGAGCCAGTGGGGAGGGCAGCAAATAGAGGGGGTGCCAGGGTGCATGTTGCTGTGATTGGCACGCGATCAAGGCCCCTGCTAGATCAAACAGACCCATCAAACTGTTTGGGCAACAACAGGTCTGCGCAGCCCTACGCACAACAAGCGCAGGAACACACCAACTTGGATGCACGCGCGCGCGCGCGCACGCACGCACGCACGCACGCACGCGCACACGCACTTGCACAAACACAACCCGCCCACTCACACGACCCGCCCAACAGGCGGCCCACCGTGCGGCAGAGGATGACGTGCTCCCCGGCCTTGGCTGCCTCCTCGGCTGCCTCCGCAGTGAACACGATCTTGCCCACTGCGGCGCCGGGGGACGCGGCCAGGCCCTTTGCCACGACGTCCCTCTGGTAGGCCTGGGGGGGGGGGGGCGGACGCGCGCGGCCGCACGTGAAATGGTGCAGGTACTTGTGGGGAGACAAGGACTTGGGGCGAGTCGAGTGGTGCTGTGCCCTGCTGGCCGCGCACGCTGCTTACACACGCACATGCATGGCATGCGCCAAGCGGGGCGCTGATGGAGTGCCTTGTCACCTGTTTGATACTGTTTGATATCAGTAAGACCCCTGCTTGTCAACATCACACTCAGCCCCCCAGCCCCCCAGCCTCCCACCCACCCCCCAATGCCCACCTTCTCGCTGACAAACATGGGGTGCAGCAGCTGGTCCAGGTGGCGGGGCTCCACCATCAGCACCGCCTCGTCAGCAGTCACCAGCCCCTGCCGCTCCATCTCAATGGCGATGCGCAGGGCGGCCGCGCCGGTGCGCTTGCCGTTGCGCGTCTGCAGCATGAAGAGGCGGCCGTCCTGCACCGTGAACTCGGTGTCCTGGGGGGGGGAGGTCGGGTGCAGGGGGCAGGTTTGTTTGGAAGGGCTGAGAGGTGAGCGGGGGGGCTAGCATGTGCCCTTCCCACACCAACGCTCAGAAGACCACAGCAGCTAGGCCGTCCAAACCAAAACAGGCCGGCGATGCAGCCGGCAGCCAGGTGCAGCCCCTACACGCGCTCTGGATCACACCACCCCTGTGCCGCCCACCTGCATGTCCTTCATGTGCACCTCCAGGCCCTTGACCGTGTCGTGCAGCTCGCGGTAGATCTCAGGCATCAGCACCTTCATCTCAGCAATGGGCGTGGGGGTGCGGATGCCTGGGGGGGGGGGGGAGCGGGGAGGCCGCGTTTGGAGGAGGGGCGTGATTACTGGGCATAGAAGCGGCGCAGCGCTGGGAGTCGAAAGCTGCAGGGGGAGTGTAGGATTGAAAAATGCAAGAGCCAGCGCACTGCAAAAACGCCCTATAACCCACAGCACTCTTATCTTGGGCATCAGCCTCCCGCTGGTGAGGTACCGAACGGCCTCATGCAAACCATCCGTCATTCATACATCATATTTGACCCTGTCCCAAGTCCACAACGAGCCCCTCCCTCTTCCTACGGCCCCCCCGACACCCCCCCCCACCGGCCACGACGTCCTCCCCCTGTGCGTCCATCAGGAACTCCCCGTAAAGACGGTCCTCCCCGGTGGCGGGGTTGCGCGTGAACAGCACGCCCGTTCCGCTGGCGCCGTTGCCGCTGTTGTAGTTGCCGTACACCATGGCCTGGGGGAGGGGGGAGTCCGGGGCAGCCAGTGGTTGAGAGGCCGTGGCAGTCAGCAGGGGTTTGGCCAAACCCGCGCACCATGGTGCGCGGATGGGGAGCTACAGCTTGGGAATGGCGCGTTGGCAGGCAAGCGAGATAAGGCGGGCGAGCAGCCAGGCGTGCGCTCTGTGTTAGCAGCCGAGACCAACCGCCATCCCCAAACCTGCCAGGCCCCAAGAGTACCCTTGGCAGGCCCCACCCCCCCTGCACCCCTGCTGCAACCCGGCCCCTACCTGTACGTTGACTGCCGTGCCCTTGAGGCCGCTGATCTTGTTGATCTCGCGGTACTTGACGGCGCGCGGGATGTTCCAGGACCTGGGGTGGGGGGGTGGGGGACAGGGGCGGGAGGGCCGCGTTGGCAGTGCTAGAAGAGGGGCTATAGAGGGGAAAGGAGGGACGAGTTTGCAACACATCAGCAGAGGGCGCAGCGGCAGCACCCAAGGAGAGCGTGAGGGCCAGTCAAGAAGGCGGCAGGATGGCGGTGGGCGGGCTTTGATCCTGCTCCCCCTGCTGCACCCGCAAAGCCGGCGGGGACCCCACCCAGCGGTGTCCCTGTGAGCAGCGCCCCACCTGAAGACGGCGTCGATGCCCATGCGCAGCTGCTCCCAGGGGTCCTGGGGCAGCTCCAGCCTGTTGCGCGCGTACACCTCCTTGTAGCGCGACACCAGCTCGCGCAGGTGGTCGGCACCCAGCTCACAGTCAAACTGAGATGCGCGGGGGGAGTTAGTTTGGTGTGCGTGTGTGCGTGCCTGCGTGTGTGTGCGTGTGTGCGTGCTTGCGCTTGCGCGCGTGTGCACGCATGCACACAAGGGAGCATGCAAGGGAGCATGGGATCATGCGTGAGCGCGGATGGTGCGTGGCCGGGCAGTTGGCCTGCATTGGCAGATAGAGACAACCGGCTCTCAAACCCAGTGCAAGCACGGCCTATTGTCCCAGCGGCCCCACACACCCAGCGGCCCCAAAAAGCTTGCCAGCCTCGTCAGCCCCACCTTGACTCCGGCCTTCTTCTTGAGCATCACGATCTCGTGCTCAAACTCGTCGTGCTCGATGCCCAGCACCACGTCACCAAACATCTGCAGCAGGCGGCGGTAGCAGTCCAGGGCGAAGCGCTCGTTGCCGGCCTGCTTGGCCAGTCCCTCCACGATGGTGTCGTTGAGGCCCAGGTTGAGCACGGTGTCCATCATGCCGGGCATGGAGAGCTGGGGGGAGGGGAGGGGGCGTTGAGCGGGGGTTAAG